TATTATATTATATTATATTATATTATATTATATTATATATAATGATATTATATCATTGTAATATAAGGGGTGTGTAGCCCAATAGTACAGTAGTGCAAAAAGATGTTAAATTAAACTAACCATGCTTAAATTGCTGTTGATCCTCAATATCAGTTTTCCAGTGTATGGAGCATTTTGATTCCATCCAGCGTATGTTGCCCACATCTTTCTCTGCTCTAATTCATCCATGTTTTTCAACAGCTCCAGATGGCATGTTGCCTCCTAGGCTTTCATCTGCTACTCCGACCAGTCTTCAGGTTCTCTGGTCTATACCAGTTCGCAACAATGCTCCAGGCTTACCGAAATACAGACTCCAAATAAGACTTAAGAACTCCCCAGAAGATATTACAGAGTAAGTAAATAAATTCTAAACTCTGTCTATATTTTGAAGAAATGCAAACTGATGTGCGGTGGCTTATCTCAAATGCAGCAGTTCTGTTCATGCAGTATTTCCCTGTGATCTTTTATTTCCCATCTTAAAATATATATTTTTGCTTTAGATTGCTTTCTAAACCAACAACTTATTTACATCATGTACTCAAGGATCTGCAGCCATACACATCTTATGAGTTGAGGGTTATTGCCTGCAATGGCTATGGTGATACATTCAGCAGCTGGACTCTGATAGATACAACAGAGGATAGTAAGTAACTTGCAGAACTATTACTATTACTTAGTAAGTATTACTAAGCTTTTTGACTGTAAGGCTACACACTGTTTCCAACAATTGGTCAAGGCCCTCTGTTTTAGAAAAGCATTCTTGTTACAGGTGATATACAGTAAATGTTAAAAGAACCTATCCTCTGGCTCCTTTATAATTGTTATTAAGTATTTCTCGGTTTTATGTGTTTTTAATATTGTCTTTTTTCCTGCCTTTTAAACATTTTAATTTTTCTAAGCCATTAAGAATTATCCACATGCATTAGAAGAGTGGGAGAAAAACCTTAGACAAATAGATAAGTAAGGGTGGAAGGATATCATAACTTTTTAAATGCATTATGCTGCAGTCCTAAAATGTATAGCAACCCTGTTAGCCTCATTCCCATCACTTAATTCTTCTAATTAAGGATGCTAAACATGAAATATTTGTCCTTCAGCATACAATATGTACCAGTTTGGTCTAGTGGTGAAGGCCCCAGGCTAGAAAGCAGGAGACTGTGAGTTCTAGTCCCACCTTAGGC